CCCCCTCCTACTCCCAGATCCCCAGACCCACTAGTCACTGTCCCTTTCCACTACACACAGCATGTGCCATTTTAGACTGGCCTCTATGAGTAGCAATTCCACAGTATCACTACACATTTAGGGTCTTCTCCATACCTTTTCCTGGCATGGAATTGATAGGAAATTTCTTTTTAGCACTGACATGTATATGTTCTACTATACTTTATATCCATTCATCTCTGACTGCCCGGTTGCTTCTAGTTTTTGTTTTTGTTTTATTGAGACAGGGTCTTACTGTGTAGCCTAAGCCGATCCTCTCCCCCCCACCTTCTAAATGCTGGGATTACAGTTATGTACCACAGCCCCTACCAGTTTCCATCCATTATGAATAAAGTAACTATAAAGATTTGTGGGTAGGTTTTGTGTAGACACGCATGTCCAGCTCACGAGGGTGAATACCTGGGACCAGAATTGTTGGGTCAGATGGTAAGACTAGATTTAGAGCTTTCCCATCTGTCTTCCATTCCTACCAGCAGTGAGTAAGAGTTTTTCTTGCCCCACTTCCCCATCAGTATATGGAGTTGCCTGGGCTGTTCTAATAGGTGTACAGCAGCACCCAGCAGCCCATGCCCTTCTAACACATGTATGTTGACACCTAGCAGCCTGTGCCATTCTCACACATGTACAGTGGCACCTGGACGCAGTGTGCAATTTCCTGGTAGCAGGCATTGTTGACCATCATGTGTTTCACATGTTTCCTTGCCATCTATATCTAGTGAGCTGACTTCAGATTGTTTGCTCTTTTAAAAATTACTTCCTTTCTTGTTGATACTTTGTGTTTAGGGCACAAAGATTTCTTGTCATGTATGTGTCTTGCAAATCTTTTCTGTAACTTTTTTTTTCATTCTCTTAACAATGCTTTTCATAGAACACAAATGTTTAGTTTCAATTAAGTGTAACTTATCAAATTTTTTCATGCTTTTGGTATAATACCATACAACTCATTGTCCAAACCAAGAAAACAAAACTTTCTCTTATGTTATCTCCTAGGAAATTTATAGTTTTGCATTGTATATTCAAGTTAACTTCTGTGAAAGGTGTAAGGTTGAGGTCTCAATTCTTGTCCTAACATGTGAATACATAAGTGAATGAAAAAATGAATTAGCCAAGCAGCAAACTCAAAACACTCTAGCTCTTGAGCCAGTGTGTGCTCCAGAGTTAGTATTTCTGTTTGTGAGGCCTTCTGTCTGCTGGGCTGTGAGCAGTGTACAGAGATGTACAGAGACATGGGGCTGTGTGTCCACTGCATGGTTGGCAGTAGATACATGGCACATGTGGGCTAGGTTAATTAGAAGGAACAGCAGTATTTCTGCTACTAGCTGCAGATACATTTCCCCTTTTTTCCAACTACATGCAATTAGTCAATCTGCAATTATATTGAATATTGACTCCTCTCACAAAGTATAACCCTTATGAAAAATACAGCAAGGTGAAACCCGTGCTAGATAGAGGAAACTATGTAAGCTAATAGTGTCATCCAAGTGGTCATAGTTTGGATAGTTTAAACTTTTTATTTTTCAAGGTAAAAAACTATACAGGTGCTTTGAAAAAAAAAAAGATGAGCAAATTTCCAGCTCTCGCTTTAGGTTCCACAAAGCTAGCTTACCAAATGTGGTTCTTCTGCAAATATTTGGGTCACAGAGCAAGGAATGCCTGACCCCATGTGCCCAAGTCTGCAGCTGGAAGTGATGTTTTGGCAAGAGCATGAGTAATTAGTCTTGTAGAGAGAGAAAACTATTGTCTTATTCCAACCAGATAGTTTGTTAGCATAACTGTGTGTATGCATTTTAGTATTCAAATACAGATGTTCTAAAATGTTTCCACTGTGGGAAGCAGCTGCTGCTGTTCGAGCACAAAACTCTCAGAGAGATTAATACACCACGCAGCATGAACCTCAGCAGCAAACAGCATCTGCTTGAGGTGGGCCCACGATTCCCGGGCACAGTGAGTGTGGGTTTTCAGATCCTCATTAACAATCCAAACCCCTGTTTCAGATCTACGCTAATTCCACAGTAGCAAGAGCAAAGACAAGTGATTAATTTGTAATCCACTCAGTTGATAAATACCATCTCATGTTATTTTCCTGGGGGCATTTTGTAAATAAAGCAGGCAAGGGAGAGGTAAAATGTCTTATCAGGGAGGCACAGCCAGGGCTTCTGATGCTAAGTCCTATTCCACCCTTACCCTCTTCCCAGCTGCTTCTCCCATTCTGGAAGCTATGATGTCTGCATCATGAATTATAGTCCTTCCCAGAGATGTGGGTCAGCAGGACCCCCACCATCTAGATCCCCCCACCAGACAGCACTGCCTGGTGCCTGGAGGAGGCCAGGGAAGAGCTTGTGTTCTCATCCTCCCCACTCCCCACATCTCAGGAGAGAGGTGCCCCCATATTCCCTCTCCTTATGTTCAGAGAGCTTGCTAAGCCAGTTCCCGTGCCTCCCTGGCATTTAGAGAAACAAAGAAACAGAAGCAGAGGATCCCAGGGCCTTCATTTGGAGTTGCCATAAACCAGGAGTTTCTGAGAACAGTGATGCCTGGGGTTCCATGCCCGCCCCAAGCCTTATAAATCCGTCCCCTGCAGTGCTGAAGGCCTCATTGCCTCCAACAACATCTACTATTTGGAGCTATCTAGTGAATTATTTATGGTTCTCACATTTGACAGGGGCTCAGAGCTGAGTTTGAAACAGCTCTTGGCTTGTGGCTGGAGCCTGGAAATGTCTGGCTGACAAACAATGGCTCAGAGAGGTTCCATTGCTAAAGATCCCAGACTTGAGAATGGAGTAGTGCCACCCTGATGCAAACACATCCGATTCTGGTCTGCCCTGGCTTCGAGTGTGCAAGAGCTTCTGCATTTTATCATGAGGGCATCCAGAATTGGTGGTGGAAGGTTTGTGGACTGTGGTCCCCTAGCCAGGCTTGAGTGGAAATGAACCAAAAAAAGAAGGAAGGTGGGAAGGGCCAGGTTCTGAAGAAGGGGACAGAAGTCACATCTCTGGGCCTGCAGCAAGGGAGGAAATATTATGGGAGATGAGCAGAGGACAGCCCCAGATATGAAGTACTGACTTGAAGTTTTAAGGCAGGCCTAATGAGACGCTCCAGGTGGGAGCTCTAGGCCATTATGGGGCAAGTGGTTGCTGGTTAGTGTTGCTGCTGCTGTGTTGATGGCTCTCTCCACTCTGGACAAAATAGAAAAGTATCAGTTTCCTGTCTTCTAAATCTTTTTGTTAGAACATCTGTGACATGATAAAAACAACTTTGAACAATTCTCAACGCTTTGCAAATATACTATTCACATGTAGTGTAGAAGTAAGAATGGTCTCTCAGCATTTGACCAAAACTGCTAGTTCATAAGGAAAGAACATAGGGTGGCACGTCCTTCATAGGTATAAACTATGACTGTCTGTGTTCTGAAGTTCACAGACATAGAGCACAGCGTGTACAGAGATGCCTGTCCTCGGCTAGGTTGGTATTACCTCATTGCTATTCTCTAGCCAGGGGCCGTTGGAACACGGCTGCCCTGCATGTGATAGCATGCACCCTTGGTTCCCCTAGGATCACATGTGCCTGCTGCACAGGGGAGCATGGTGAAGAAAGGTGCTACATAGCCCTTAGCTGCAGATACAAGTGAGAAAGGGAAAGAATCATCATGCTTCCGATTTTTAGAATTAAAAAGAAGGCAGAAAAAGCCCAGAAAAACTTCCCTTTTGTATCTCAACAAAGGAGTTAGAAACTAAAGATTAAAATGCACGGCTGTGGGCACTGGGTGAGAGTCTATCTTTGATGTCCCTGTGTGGTGCATGACACTGACATAGGGTGATTTTCACTAAGAACTTAAGGCAGAAAGGATTTGTGTTCTTTGAAGGAGTTGGTGAGTGGCAAGCAGCAGGAAGGGTCTGAGGAGGGAGCATCCCTGGGCACAGAGGAGCTGGGGTTAGGAAAACCCCTAGGCAAGATGGAAAAGGTAAAAGCCTGGAGAATGGGGAGGCTCCCACACCCACTCAGAATTATCACTGTGCAGCAATATTTTCCTCTGATTCTCATCGAAGCTGAAGGCCTCCCTGGTCACCAGCACTGGTCATGTCACACTAAAGGGCCAAGGTAAAAGCAGGACCCCTTAATGGGTCATAGGTCATCATGGAAAACATCTTCTTCCTCATTAATACATCCATTTGCTTCAGAGGACCAGAGTGGAGAAACGTGTAGGAGTGCAACAGCCAAACAGGGATTTCTCCTAGAACTGTCCTGGGCTCTGTCATATGTTATGAATTAATTTCAGCTTGCTCCAACATTTCTTTTAGACTACAGAGGTTAATAGGTGTTAACAGAGCTGAACTATCATAGAAAATACTAGATATATCAGTAAGCCAGCCAGCCACTAGTAGCTCATGCCTATAATCGCAGCTACCCAGGAAGCTGAGATCTGGCAGATCACAGTTGGAAGCCAGCCCAGGCAGGAAAAACTCTGAGAGACTCTAGCTCCAATTAACCAATAAGAGAGCTGGACTATAGTTGTGACTAAGGGGTAGAACACCAGCCATGAGAAAGAAAAGTAAGCCAGAACTTGAAGTCCTGAATTCATACTCCCTTATAAGAAAAAGATGGATGGATGGATGGACAGACGGACAGATGGGCAGGCAGGCAGTCAGACAGACAGACAGACAGAGGGGAGAGCAGAGAGAGTATATCAATAAGTCTTTAAGATGAAAGTTGCATGCAGCACTGCCTGTTTCTGTGAGATTGGGTATGGAACGCTACTGATTAAGTAGCCATTGTCTTCTGCTGGAAGCTAGCTCTTGGAAGTCCCGTTTATCGCCTCTGCTAGGTCTGTAGCCCACTGATAGAAGTACCATTAGGAACTAGATTGATAGTTGCAGGCGAACTCGGTGAAACTTTATCTGCTAAACAAACCCAAGCCACTGTCTGATGTATATTTGTTTCTCTGCCACATCCTCTCTCTCCAGGCAGCTTCATCAGCCCTGAGCAGTCTGGGCCATGTATACACAGCCATTGGAGACTATCCCAATGCCCTTGCCAGTCACAAACAGTGTGTTCTTCTTGCCAAGCAATCCAAAGACGAACTTTCTGAAGCCCGAGAACTTGGCAACATGGGGGCTGTGTATATCGCCATGGGAGACTTTGAGAATGCTGTGCAGTGCCATGAACAGCACCTGAAGATAGCCAAGGACTTGGGGAATAAGCGAGAGGAGGCCCGTGCCTACAGCAACCTGGGCAGTGCCTACCACTACCGGAGGAACTTTGACAAGGCCATGTCTTACCACAACTATGTGCTAGAGCTGGCACAGGAGCTGATGGAGAAGGCCATTGAGATGCGGGCCTATGCCGGCCTGGGCCATGCTGCCAGATGCATGCAGGACCTCGAGAGGGCGAGGCAGTACCATGAACGGCAACTGGGCATCGCTGAGGACCTCAAGGATCGGGCTGCAGAGGGGCGCGCATCCTCCAATCTGGGTGAGTGCAGGGTTGCTTGCAAGACCCCAGGTAATATATGGGTTGGAAATAGTGGGAGTAGTTCTCTGTCTTTACAGGATTCTGTGTTTTAATTCAACACAATCTGCTCATTGTGTTCATCTTCCCCTCAGCTATATTCCCCCAGGAGCCTGCCTGCTGTAACTCACACGCTCTTTCCTGTCATCATAGCTCTCTAAGCACTAGAACTCTGAAGTACTGGGAAAACAAAGCACCCAGCCTTTTAATCTGTCTAGAGAGAAGAGCACAGATTTATCTAATTAGAGAGAAGGGATGAAGATGATATAAGGCTATGTTTGGTTTAAGTGAAGGAGATACTGCTAGAAAGTCATCAAGGCGAGAGAATTGGAGAGAATTTCTGCTTCCAGAGATTTCTCGACTTGGCAAATTAGCTTCACAGGATATTTTTTCTTCCAAATTATACGTATTCATAAACAATATTGATGTTAGTATAAATGCAAAATGATCTTTGTGAAAGATCTCCTTAAAGAATGTCTATAGTCATTGTTTTGTTAGTACTTGGTAGCAATTAAGACATTGACAGTTTGGGAGTTCCTGCGAGGTGATAAGCATAAGTTGGTAACCCCCAATCTTCTAGAAGATAGTGTTAAATTGTCTCTATGTCCGGCTGGATGCAGTGGGTACTTAATGAATGGACATAAGGATGTGTTGGGAAGTATGGATGATTCCGTTCTTGTGCCCAGAGCTTCTCATTGTTCTGTGCCCACAACGACTCAAGGTGAGGAAGGACAAAGAGGAGGTGGTCTTGGTTCACAGCCAGGATGCCTGTAGAGTTCAGCCTCCTTTTCTTGTGTGAACTACCAGACCAAGGCGACTCCATCTCCACTGTTGTCAGCATAACACTTCTGCTCCTACCCCCTCCTCTGATCATTTTAATCATATATGTCTTGAATAGTTGTTAGAGAAAGACCTTCATATTCCTAGAGTTGGCTCGAGATGTGAAGATGGCACTGAGTCCAGAATGTGGTCTAGAGAATCTGGCAAGCCAAAAATAGGTTCCTGCTTTAACAATTCATTTAGCAGATGACAAGCGCTTATTAAACCTTTACCATATGCTCAGTCCTGAATAATTGTTTAAGGGGGGACAGATAATCCTTACCTTCAGAGAGCTTATAATTGTGATAGGATGACAATGCAGGATGGTGGCAAAAGCAACTTCAGGAATGTGCTAGAGAGTGACAGAAGGTTAGTGTGAGGTCTGGACAAGGATATGTCTATGAACAAGAGCCTCAGGAAGTTGTGAAGTGAGAAAAAGAGGAGGAGTCAAGCTGTGGCATGTAGGAGAGATGAGAAGGCCTGGGGCCTCCACTTGAAATAGTTGTGCATGTTAGACTATTCAGGTTTTCCTCTTCCTTTTGTGTCAGCTTTCACAAGTTGTATTTTTCAAGAGCTAGTCATTTCATCTAAGCTACTGCATTCAGGGGCCTAGAGTTGTTTATAATGTTGGTCTATCATTCTTTTAATGATCATAGGCCATATGGGGAAATACTCTCCTTCATTCCTGAGAGTTTGTGTTGTGTTCTCCATATTCTCTCTCTCTCTCTCTCTCTCTCTCTCTCTCTCTCTCTCTCTCTTGTCAGTCATGGGGCCTGAACTCTGGGCCTGGGCACTGTCCCTCAGCTCTTTAGCTCAAGGCTAGCGCTCTACCACTTGAGCCACAGTGTCACTTCTGGCTTTTTCTGCTTATGTGGTGCTGAGGAATGGAACTCAGGACCTCATGCATCCAAGGCAAGCACTCTACCACTGAGCCACCTTCCCAGCCCCTCCATTCTCTTGATACTTTTAAAAGAACCAGCATTTGTATTTCCTCTGAATACTCATTTACCTATATACCACAACTTTAATTGACCTTAAATTTTTAAATCAAATCTAAGATTTTTTATCCATTTTATCCATTAAGAATTGTTTAATTTGAAAACATTTTGGGACTTGTATGTATGATATAATTGGTTTTATCTTATCACTGTAGAAAAGAATTAAAAAACATTTTTTCTTACTAAGCACTGGTGGCTTATACTTGTAATCCTGGCTACTCAAGTAACTGAGATCTGGAGGATCATGGTTTGAAGCTAGCCCAGGCAGATATAATCCTCTAGATTCTATATCTAATTAACCAGCCAAGAGGTGGGCTTAAGGAATGGCACAAGTGGTAGAGTTCTAACTGTGATTTGTTTTAAAGAGGGAATGTGTTGCTAGATACTGTATTGTTGTGTTATCAGATTTTGTTTAATTTTATTGTGATCAGAGCCTATGATCCATAGCTTTTCAGAGGGTGTGGCATAGAGCTGTACGATGACATGTGAGCCCAGGTAGTATATACTGTTGTTCATATCACCCATGCCTTTATTATTATGATGAATCAATTGCCAAGAAAAAAGTTGTTAAAAATCTACAAATTGCTGGGCGCCAGTGACACACCCCTGTAAGCCTAGCTACTCAGGAAACTGAGATCTGAGGAGCACGGTTCAAAACCAGCTCAGGCAGGAAAGACTTTGAGACTCTTATCTCTAATTAACCACCAGAAAACTGGAAGTGGCGCTGTGGCTCAAGTAATAGAGCACTTGCTTTGAGCTGAAGAGCTGAGGGACAGCATCCAAGCCTAGAGTTCAAGCCCCACAACACTCCCTCCTCCAAAAAAATCTACAAATTATTGTGGATTTGTTTGTTCCTATTTCTAATTCTGTGAAACTCAGCTTCACATATTGTGATGCTCTCTTATTGGGCAATATCCATGTATAAACAGTTGGTTGTCCTGATGGCTGGTCCTTTTGTCATTATGGACTGTCTCTTATCTTTGATGATACCCTTCTGTCTTGAAGTCTGCTTGATCTGATTCTGATATGCCTACTTCCACCTTCATGTGCTTACTATTTCTGTGGTTCATCTTCTCCTTCTATTTATGTTGTTTATTTTTCTGTGAGTTATTTGTGTGTGTGTGTGTGTGTGTGTGTGTGTGTGCTTGTGCGTGTGCGCACGTGCACATGCATACTGAGGCTTGAACTGTCCGTTAGCTTTTTAGCTCAAGTCTGTTGTTCTACTGCTGAGCCTCAGCTCCATTTCTGGATTTTTGCTGGCTAATTGGAGATAAGAGTGCAGGGAGGTCTTTTGTGCCTGGGCGGGCTTTGAACCTTGGCGCTCAGATCTCAGCCTCCTGAGTAGCTAGGATTACAGGCCTGAGCCACCAGTACCCAATTATAATTGTTCTAGTAACTCTGGTATCACTGAGACAGAGTTCCTGACAACTAGTTAAAGGAAGCAAGATTTACATTGTTCACAGTTTTGGGGCTCTGTCATGGTTGCTGGCCCTGTGTGTTTGTTTGGGGAGAATGAAATGGCAGTGGGAGTGCATGGTGGTCACCTCATGGTGGACACAAAGCAGAGAACAAGGAAGGGACCAGGTATAACCTTCAAAGGGACAACCCCTAGAACCACTTCCCCTCACTCAGCTGCCCCTCCTAGTTTCGACCACCTCTCCCAGCTGGGACCAAGCATCTAGCATATGGGCCAGCCCATCAGGGAGTGTTACACAGCCAAATCATAACAGCTTTTTTTTTTTTTTTTGGCCTGTATCAAGGTTTGAACTGAGGGCTTTGTGTGCTTGCTTACCTTGCATACTCAGCTGATGCTCTACACTTGAGCCCTACTTCTGGTCCAGCTTTTGATGATTAATTAAGTATAGAGTCTCTCAGACTTTTCTTCCCTGCTGGCTTCAAACTGCTATCCTCTGGATACCTCCTGAGTATTTAAGATTACAGCTATGAGCCACCAGTGCCCAGCTTGCAACATAGCCTTTTAACTAAAGAATTTCTTCCATTTAATATGTAATAATTAGTTTTGTTAAATTTAGATTTATTCTTCTATTGGATTTTCATTGGTCTTATTTGTATTTTTCCCTTTTGTTTTTCTTTTTCTGCTTTCCTTGGGTTAATTTAACCTTTTAGACGACATTTTATGTATTTGCTTTTTAGCTCTACTTCTTTGCATTGTTTTTCAGTGATTTCTCTAAAGATTACATCATGTAACTAGGCATACTGATGCTCATCTGTAATTCTGCCATTTGGGATGTAAAGGCAAAAGGATTGCAAGTTCAAGATCAGCTAGGAATAAATAGATAGTGAGTCTAGTCCAGTCTGGGTTATGAGACTAGAGTTTTAAATAAGCAAAGAAGTCAACAAAAAAGATTACATGCTATGTTTTCTGTATAATCTACTAGAAGCTAGTATCAGCATGTTTCCTGTACAGTCTAAGCATCTTGAACTTTGTAAGTTCATTTGTTATACCTTCTGGACTTCATGCTTTAGTTGGCACATATATTCCTATCCTTTGCTTTTTTTAGACCCTACAATACAATGTTAGAATTTGTCTTAAACCATTTTAAACCATCATTTTAATGATGTAAGAGGAAAAGCAATGTTATATGTTTGTCACTTAAGAGTTATGTCTAGTTCTCATTCATTCCTGAGGATTTGAGTTTGGTGTGGTCTTACTTCCCTTCATCCTAGACGACATTACTTACCACGGATGATTTTTTTTAAGTTATGAAAGTAATACATACTTTTATGAAAATAATTCTTACAATACCAAATGTATAAAATTTAATGTTTATATTCCCCCTGTATTAGTAATTGGTTTGGATCTTTACAGACCATTTTACATGCCTGTACCATCCCTATGCTGACACACGCGTGTGTGTAGCAGTCCCGAGGCCTGGATCATTGCATGCTCTTCTGCAGCCATCTCCACACTGCGCTTGCCTGCTCTCTGTGGTCAGTTACCTCCATTACTGTCATGACTGCCTTCCACCATGGAAAATGTGGGAGTTCTGTGTTCTGTTCCATCCTTGATTCTATTCTGTTCTTTCTGTGCTCATCTTCCTTCATCATTCCTCCTTGCCCCTTGACTTCTGCTTGGTTACCTGCTGCTTCTAAATCTATACTTAGCACTCTGACTTCTTTTCATCT